TGGACAATGGCAGCCAGCGTGCTGGCTTACCCACTTCAACTATGATGCTAGCCAGCGTGCTGGCTTTGCCATCTCAACCATGGCAGCCAGCGTGCTGGCTTACCCACTTCAACTATGATGGTAGCCAACGTGCTGGCTTTCCATCTGGACAATGGCAGCCAGCAAGCTGGCTTCCACTGCCTGTTGTCAGCCAGCAAGCTGGCTAGACTTGCGCGAACTCACTTGGAAATTGCTGCGGTCTCTCTGCTTGAGCCACGAACACGAAACGAAACGTGCCTCAGATCTACAGCACCAAAGACCTGCGAAAGCATTTCATGAACATCTGCTTTATGCTGGCTTTGCCACCTACTATCTATACATACATATATACATCTATATAAGAATACTGTGGCAGCCAGCGTGCTGGCTTTGCCATCTAGATTATGGGAGCCAGCTCTGTGGATTTGCACAGGTCATGGCTGGAAATTAACTTTTTAAGGTTTGGGGTTGACTTTTACATTGTGGATATTCATGTAGCAGTCACGTTTTTTGTTGAAAGTCAATATATATGGTTTTTTAAGTTGCATACAAAACTTATCATCAACATAACATAACTGCCCCGGGCCCCATGCCCCATGTTCTTCAAAACTTAGACTTAAAGACACACAGTCAGTCACACATAGTACTGAACAATATGTGTTAGCGCAGCAGCGGCACTAGTACTAGCATTTTTTTCTCTCACAACCTCTTCCAGCACAGAAGTTCACGGAAGCCATAACCGCAAGCATTCGTGACATCTTGTGCACAAAGCCTATTCTTCTCAGTCTGCTTCTCTCTGTCAGTATTGGTGCCCTAGATGGCACGCACCAAGTGACAAAGCTATCATCAATTCAGGTTGGGTAAATACACCAAATCATTCAGAACAAACATCAGCATATGGTTGAATTATATCAATGTGACAATGTAGGACTGTAGGACCAAAAAATATAAGAGCAAAACAAGAATGACAGCAATGTCACCGGAACACAAAGGAAAAAGGTCAACTACCTTATCCCACATGACACTGTTTAGCTTTCGCGTGCACGTTTTGTGCCAGCCACAGCATCACTCAAGGATAGCTGACCCGCAGCAGCACCACGTCCCCTTTTGGTAGTGGAGCTAGCATTGGCAGATTTTGCTTTCGGCTTGGGCCCAGCCTTAGCCTTAGCCTGAGCATTTGATGCTTTGGTCTTGGCCTTGGCTTTCTGTTTGGGACTAGCCTTAGCTTTAGATTTAGCCTTGGCCTTACACTTGGGGCTTGCCTTGGCCTTAGGACGTTTCTTTCCCGAAGCCTTGGCTTGGCATGACGTGTCCTCTGCGTCAAGCTCTAAGCCAAGATCAGAGTCATTGCCACCGTCCTCTGCCGACGTTTGCATCTCATCTGCATCACTCTTCTCTGGCTCCTGTCAAGAGTTGGGTAATGAGTCCAGTCCAGTCCAGTTCTGTCTCAACCATCATCCTCATTTGCACTTTATCTCTATATATATCATCATATGGTAGTAGTAGTAGTAGTAGTAGTAGTAGTACTATAGTATAGTAATAGTATCATATGTCATCTATTGAATTAAATGATCTATGTTTTTAGTAGCTTGTAAGTAAGTTACAAGTTGTAACTTGTACTTGTAGCAGTAGCATCAGTATTTGAATCATCTCTGACAGACGACGTTGGACACGTTTTTGTCTCAGGTCTCAGGTCTCTCTCTCTCTCTCTCTTTCTCCCTCTCCTCTCTCTCTCTCTCTCTCTCTCTCTCTCTTCGTCCCCTGTTGTATCCAACAACCGCCGGCAACAACCGCCGGCAACATTGCACCACCATCACACCACTTGGACTTGGCCTCCAAATTTGTGTCGCCGTCGTCGCCAGCGCCAGTCTCCTGGGCAAGAGTGATTGTGAGGACTGGATGATGTCCATGACGATCGATGGCTGTTTCTAAAAACATGTTTTTCCTCAATCCAAACAACGTGAACAGTACAGTCTCAGTACAGTACAATGCAACCAATCAGCAAGAGTTTGACCGGTCATGTACTCCAGCTCTGCAAATGTAGTACGCCAGCACACACGGGCAGCAAAATCAAAAGCACGTGCCGTAACCACTAAGGGGTTTTCCTTTCCATACTCCTTGTCTTGTTCCAGTTCCAGTTGCTCACGTGTTTTCTTTGTTTCTGATTCTGGTAAACTTGATTGAAGCGTCAACTTGTATCGTGCTCTAGCAACCATGCGCAGTGGAAGTAGAGTTAGTGATAACTGTTTATGCAGCTCCTGCAAATGCTTCTCGTTTGCTGGTACCTGGACCTGCAAGCAAACAATCAGACTCAGAGTCAGAGTCCGAGTAGTTGACAGTCACACTAACTTGACTTGACATTGACATTCATTGCAAACACAGCAATGCCTGAGGTTCGGCGGTCTCCATAGGTTGAACAGGTTGAGCTGTAGGGGCAGTAGGAGGAGGATCAATGTATTGCCCGTGGGCGACTTGCATAGGCCTCGTCGTTGTGGTGGCCTCCAAACCAAAATCATTTATTCAATTATTCAATCTGAACGGTCCGACATGCAATGGCAATAAGTGGTAAGGTTTGACTACAACTACAACTAGATAACTGAGTCAAACAGAACTCAACTGCCTCCCCTGGATCACCATCCTCAATAGCCAAAACAGTCTCGGTCGGTGCCAGTGCCTGCAAGGTTGTTGGTTGTCGGTTGTGATTGATAACTAATGAAATGACCTTTGACTCGGACCTTTGACTAATATTGTGAGGCCTTTGTTGATGAGAAGCTAATTAATTGGTAGAAGTAGTAGTGCGGGTTGTGGTGGCTTGCCTGCCTCATTTGTCTCAGCAACAACAGCCAAAGGGATTTCTGACTCTGGTGCAACAGTCATCTCCGCATTTGCAGCATTGAAGGGTTCAACCTGCGAGGTCAAGGTCTGGTAAGACATGACTAGCATTTGTGCGTCACTACTCTGTTCTTGTTGATTGCATTTGTTTGCGGTTTCTGTTCGAAAGTGAATCAACACATAAAGGAACAGCCTCCTCAGGAGGAACAGGTGTCTCCTGGACATTGGCAGGCTGTGGTGTCATACCACCATCCGCTGGAATTGGGGCCTGCAATGTTCAATCTCACTTCTCTTCAACTTCACTTCAGTTATTAAACATTCAAGTGTATTGTACAGTGTACTAGTCAGTACAGTGTATATCAACGGTAAGCACGGTAACCTAAGAACCTAGTACAAACTACAAACTGTTTCAAATCACTGCAGTGGCAGCGACGCCTCTGTTTCCTTCACCAAACTTTGAGCAGCAGCGTCCGTAGCAGAATGTGGTGGTTTGTCCATAGGCGGCGGCGGCGGTGGCTCCTGATTTGGCTCCTGCAGCAGCATGCAAGATTGAATTTAGTAAAAGTAGTAGTAGTAGCAGTAGTAGAAGTAATAGTAATCAGTAATCGTTAGTTAGTAGTAAGTAAGTAAATAAGTAAGTTAAATAAATAAGTAAGCAAGTAAGTAAGTAGCAATAGTAGTAGTAGAGAGTAGTAGAGAGAGAGAGAGTAATTAAAGTGTCTGTCTGTCTGACTGGAGAGCCTGGTCAGCCGTGAAAGCATCACCTGCTTCGCGGAACACATTCTCAATGTGTTGTATCATTGCATCCTCCTCATCCTCAGCCTCCTGGGCAAAGAACAATCATCAGTTGAACAAAATGAACCCAATGTAAATAGCCGGCCAAAACTAACTCCGGTGTCGGCGGTATGGTTCTTTGTTCAATGCAATCCCTGGGAGTCAATCATGCCAGGCATGTGACACATACCTTGCCTTCTTGACCTTGACCGACGCAGACTTGTCAGCCTTCTTTTGTGTAGCTTCGTTTATAAGCATATCGGCTTGCTCACAAAAGGCAGCAGTGATTCTCATCCTACAGTGATTCTCATCCTACAGAAATCCACATGCAAGTGCAGTGCAGTGCATGCATTAGGTTCATTAGGCGTCAGCAACATTTCAGAATCAATGCCACAGCACAAATCTGGCAACCACTTGAACATAACACAACTAAAATTTAATGAATAAGAATCAGCCAAGCTTCTCAGGAAAAATCACTTTGGTAAGTTTGAGGCTAGGAACAGCATCAATCCCGAGACAATTGAAATAGCATCTGGCATAGAAGTTGTGGGCAACAAGGGCCTTCTCAACCATAACAGTACCCGCTGGTACCCAAAGAACCTAGGTTTGGTTTGGGTTATCAAGTTCTTTTGTAACTTAAATTCAATGTGTAGTGTCAGTGTCAGTGTCATTTAAATATATTGTTACGTCACGTTACACGTTTGCTCAATTTAGTTCAACAGTAACTGACAGTAACAGCTTGAATGATTGAGGCAAGATGCGTCTCCTCTGCACAACCAAACTTGTGTGAAAGTGCCCATCTGGGATGCAAATGTTGACAGTTGATCTGGTTCCAGGGTGAGGTTCTCAAAGGATTGCACTGCTGTGACCAACGCATTCAAATCCAAGTCCGTCTTGTTGTCAGCGAATTGGTCGACAACCTAACATGTTTTCAGATTCAAGTGTGCAATGTAAGTCAATGAAAAACACCTAAGACAAGACACAGACACAGCACATATATTTAAAAAGAACACCATCAATAAGCACAGCTGAGCGTCGTCTTGAATTGATGCAAGTGCCATGACTCGTGTTCCCTCATATTGGACTTGTATATGTGGCAAGCCTCCTGGAACTAGGCCAGCAAACCTCTTGCCCTGGTTGAATGATACATGGTAGATCCACCTGTACTTTTGAAACTCATGATTCGCTGCCCTGACTTTGTCATCGTTCTGCTGATCTTCACCAAGTGCTTCCAGCATACTCTCTTCAATCATCTCAGGATCCACAACCATCATGGATCCAAAAGTCTCTGCCGAATTATCTTCCACCATGCTGGCAAAGACAGTGTCAAAGTTCAGTGCAAAGATCCGTTCTTGTATACTGTCGTCGTACTTGTCATTTTTCTTGACTAAATTCGGATCAGCCTGACAAGTTGTGCATTGACAACACTGCCCACTTCCCAGGTGAACTTCAAAGACTGACCAGAACAACTGCCAACATGAGTTGGTAGTAGGTAGTGTTAGTGTTAGTTAGTGTTACTTATTTGTTACTTGTTAAATTACTGTTAAGTTGTGTTAGTATACGTTAGTGACGGTTGACCGTTGGCTGCCACACCACACCTCCACTTTCTCATGAAATGCTGTCATGAAGTTCGCATTCTCCACTTTCATCATGGTGTTGACAGAGTTGATCTCTTTGCGACAAGGACCACTGTCACCAAGAACCTCAGAATGGCCCTCCATGATTTTCTTCACAACTGATCTCTTCAACCTCCATACGCATGGTGAGCCACGCGCTGCCGTCTCGGCAAACTCTTGCAGTGAAGCTGCAATAGTACAATCGGCATCGGGAATTTTGGTTCTCAAAATGTATGGGTCATCATCACCAAGTTCCCCAATGCCTTTACCACGCCTGTGGCACTTCTGGCCATCGTTTTCTTCTTGGTCTTCTTCTCCGCTCTTGTTAGCTGCCTCTGCTTCTTTCTTCTTAGCCGCAGCTTTCTCGTCTGCCTTTCTCTGTCTTTCTGCTGCTGCTTTCTCTGCCTTATCTGCTTTCGCCTGGTCTTTTTTCTTTTGTAGTTCTAATCGTTTGTTCTCTTTCTCAACAGCAGCTTCCTCCGCTTTCTTGGCATTCAAAACAGCTGCATTCCTTGCTTTGTACTGCGTTGCAGCAGTCAGGGCTCCATCACATAGTTCCTTCAGGGTCTCCACAGCAAAGTGATGAATAGCAGCCTCCCGCTTCACTGCATCTGGAGAATCCAGAAGGTCCCAGTCGTTTCTGCACCTATGCATGAATCCCACTGTTTGCAAGGATTGTAGAGAGATCGCACGTTCCTTGAAGTACTCATCCTTCTTGCACATTTGAAGAACCTCTTGACAAACCTGCTCGTTTGCTGGCTTTTCCACTGCTAGCCTTGTAGAGAGCTTGTGAATCATCAGAAACCGGTTGTTGATGTTTTTGATAGCTGTTTCAACCGCCTCTGATTCATCAATGAAAGCAATGTTTTCAGGCTTCTCAGGCTTGTTCTTCTCACCAAGAGCAGAGAGGCAAGCGGTTTCTGCTTTCTCTAGTTTGACTAGCATGTTGTTGAAGTCCTTCAAAGAAAATTTGCGTGCTTTTGAAGCTGCAGCAATAGGATCACGAGTACCTCTCAAAGCCTTGTCCAAAGCTGGAACACCGCAGCTCGCATCCAATACAGCATGAGCAGCAGGTCCGGCTGTGAGTCCACTAAACTTCAACTTGCCCTTGCCGTTTCTGCAAGCCTCCCCAGCAGCCGTAGTCCCAGTCCCAATCACCAATTGAGAACAATTTGATGATGGCATAGAAATTGTCAAGCCCGAAAGATCAACGTCCGTGTCATTCAACGTTGCATCCAAACAAGACTGAAAATCAGTCTGCATTGTTGCAACATTGGCATCAGTGGCCTTCGCCTTGTGCTCCAAGCAAAGTGTGCCACTTTTGTCCTGGAGTCCAGTCCAGTACATATATTCAGTCTCCAATCATAACTCTAAACGGAAGAACTCTTCCAAGTACAGTACAGCTGACTTACATTTAAGTATAATTTTTATGACTCTGACTCTGACTCATGATTTGTTTTGTTTTGTTATGGCGTGGCGGCATGACAGCGTGGCGCATGGTTCTTCTTGTTCAATAATTCTTGATATATTATTGGTAAGTTGTTGGCTAGTGTTAGTGCAGTGCGTTTAGCCGTTTCAAACTAACCGCAAACAGCTCCTTGTAGGCCAGATCTCGTGTCTCAAACTTCTTCGGGACAAAGATTCTCCAAACTCGTTGGCCAGATGGGACACCTGATGGGTCCAAGCGTTCCACTTGGTCTTTCCGCACACTCCTGTCCGCGAAGTCTTTGTTCCATTTGTGTAAAGCTCCGTCAGGAGTGAGCCCTGAACAGAAGGCATGAACAATGAACAACAAACTTATGAAACTATGAAACCAAGACTGGCAATCAGTTTGCAAATTATTGAGTCAGTCAGTCAGTCAGTCAAATAATATAAATGTGCTGTTCAAAAACAAGTATCTTCTCCATGACTCTGCTTCTTCTGTGAAGAACTTGAGAAATTCTGGCCATGCCATGGGCTCTCCAATTCCAACATCTTCTGATCGTGCTCCAACTCGATGGGTCTGAGAAAGTGTGCACCAGTCGTATGAAGGTCCTGTTTTTTGTCCAGAAGGGCGTCCAGGACCACTACCTGTTGTCCTTGTTGCATAGCATACTGACTTGCCAAGGTTGCATTGCAGGACAAACCGACATACACAGTCTTTTTTAGTTGAACCGAAGGGTCATGCAGCAGTACTTCTTCAAGTGCAAAATGTAAACATCCTGAGAACTTCTGGTGATTTGAATGCATGTTTGATCGATTTAGAATTTAGAACATCTAACTACTGAACTGAACCAAGCATTTGCAATTTGCAATTTGGATTTTGATGTTGCTGTCACTACTGCTGCCAAAGTGCATGACAGTTCTTTTCCAGGTCATTAATCACCTTGCCTTTGCCCGCTCTGTCAGCTTGCTCATGGAAACGTCTCCGCTTGGGTATAATCTTTTGGCATAATTGTGTCAGCCTTGGATTCGATCACTTGATATAAACACAGTTGCAATTTATGGTGTCTACTGTTTCAGGCTAGTCTTTGCAGCACATTGAGTTCAAACAAGTAACGCTTTTGGCCTGTAAACGCACATGCACTTGCTGGGACACACTTCACACCATGTCATCCCTGGCGGCAAATGGGGTTGCTCCCCTGATGTTTCAACTGCTGCTGCATCTGGGACCGGTATCAAAGAATCATTTGCCCCACCATCTGCCATGCTTGGAGAACGCGGACACTCACGCAAACTCTGCAAACTATGATATGCATCCTGCATACATATACACATAGTCGTAGTAGTTCACATGATTATCTGATGATAATAATAGTTCACGTGACGTGATTCACGTTTCACGTTAGTTCAAGTGTCACGTCTGTTTGTTCCATCCATTTCATCATACAGTCCGCCTCACACTCCTGCTGCCTACCAATTGAGCCCACATAAGGAACATACATATTGATCTTGAATTTATTGTAAAGTTGAACTTAGACAAAGCGGTCAGTCAGTCCGTCTCTGGCTGTCAAGCTTCCTTGTTCACTTTCAGTAGAGTTTGTCTCAGCCAGATTGTAAGAGTCCATAGCGTTTTGCACACATAGACTCAATGCACTCATGCAGCTAGCAGCCATACATAACAATGCTACAACAAATAATCGAAAGTTGAAACGGAACATGTAATCTAATCTAACCGCTAACCTGACCTAACCTCGATGATTTTGCTTGTCATGGACTCTGACTCATGGACATGTCATTCACTGCTGGCTGATTCCAATTGTGAAAACAATGCAAGACAGCTTCGCAGCTTCAGCTACAAACTACAGACTACTATGTGTCTGTCGGTGTTGATGTCGATGTAGATGTGGATGTTGTAGCTGTAGAAGTACTTGTACTTGAGCTTGTGGTTGAGCTCGTGCTTGATTCCCGCTCACTCCTGGACGTCCCTGGCTGAAAAGTACACAAAATTGAAGCCCAAACAGCTCCTGCAACACTCAGGTGCATTGCCTTAGATGCTAGCGTGCATAGCATCTAAGTCATATCAATGTCATTCAATGTCAACTGTCAACTGTTAAAATAAAAAATAGATAGATTAAAAGATTATTAACAGTTTAATTCAATACATCTTTGTTTGTTTGTTTGGTTGGTTGGTTTGGTTGTAATTTGTAGACATGACTCACTGGCTCAACATAAGATAGATTGTTTTAATTTGATCAATACCGAGATACATTTCCTGCTAGTTGTTTCATACCAGTTGGACTGATTCGACTGAAGTTGAATGGAGGCCAAGGCATATCGCTCGAAAACTCTGGCCAAGCAGGCAACCCCATGGTCAACAAATGTTCCTGCCAAAAGATAATCCATGACAGTGGCACAGCCAATGACATTTGAACACAATGACAACGCAAGAAACATAAACAATAAGTCGTAAGCAACAGCAACAACAACAACTGTAACTAAAACCGTTCGTATGTCATTTGAATGGTAACTGTCCTTTGGTAGCATAAGTCGTTCTTCAACAGAGGTGATCTTTTTGTTTGGGTTGTGCAATAGAAACATGTTGCCAGCGCGCAACAGTGTGGGGCACCAATGTGATACAATTGGCCGTCGCTGCGGATTCTGGCATAAGTTTGCTATTGCACAAGAATGATCTCCTGACAGCAGTGCAGTCTAAAGATGTGTTATTCAGTTTGTTGATTGTCCGGATGAATTTGACGCATAATATCGTTCATCATTGTCTGAAATCAGCCAGGAAACTCTCCCATAGCTTTTGCACCTTTTCGCAGTTCTTGTACATGTCCAGCCAAACAGGTCCAGCTCCTAACAAAAATGCAGCAGTTATAATTGTGAACAGTTCTAAACTCATTAGTAGGCTCATTAGTCAAAACAGATATCAATTGTATCCTCCAAGAAGATACGAAAAGGAACTTCCGCTTGGCTGCTTGAGTCTATGGCAAAGTTCAGCACGAAATGATTCCACCTCAACCTGAGATCTTCGGCAATGTCAAATTAATGACTACTTTAAATCAATTGCAAACAATAACAAAGATGTTGCTCAATGTCAGCAGTGCACATTGAAGTTGAAGGCATCACATGCAATATGTATAGACTACACTGATGCAGATTAGCAGCATCAGGTGCAGCAAACAAATCAGCAGCAGTGCAACTTGTTTTCCGATACAGTTGGTGAACAATGTTCAGCTCCGGCTGCTGCAAAGCCCCAGAAGTCTTCCTCACTAGGACAGAGTACCTTGGATATTCTTTCTGAAACATGAATGGCTGACTGCGGCTGTGGCTGACTCGATGATTTGCATATATGACTGACTTCAGCTGAAGCATAACATAACCCATTCTGTCCCATTCTTGTCCAATGTACAAACGTGGTCGAAATGCTGGCCAACCCAAAAGGTGTGGCGACAACAGCCATTCACTGCCAACGCAACAGTGGCTCGCTTTGTCCACAGAATCCTGCAGTAGTGGCTAAACAACACAGTTTGTTTGAAGAACTGTATCTGACATTTGACATGTATCAAAGTATCAAACAACATTTCGCAGTGACAGTTGTGTGTCCTTCATTGGAGGGCGTTGGATAGTATAGAGATCGTAGTCATCTAGATATTCAGTGAACACTTCACGCAAAAAGCGAGACGTGCATTCATGGAAGACCCAATGAGGTTTGACATGCCTGATCTCTGAAAGAAATATTGCTAGTGGACGACAGCTAGCTCCCATGAGTCCAGCGTGGTTGCCAATGGCACTCACGTCTCTGCATACAGTTCCTGCGGAGAACACGATCAGTTCATTTGCTGTTTGATGACTACTGGCACTTTCTCGTAGCATGCCCATTGGCGTCAAACAGCTCTTTGGTCGTGATTGTCGAGACTTCTTCCTCCCCGGACTTGCAGGATCCTAGGTGAAACTAGGCTGCTGTACTGCTGTACTACAAAAAACAACTCCGAGATACAATACAGTGTGTATGTATATATATATATGTACACGCAAAGCAAAGCCAAGAAACAGTTTCTACATGATCACTGCGGTGGCAAGCAGCAGTACTGGCAAATGTTGACTCATCACTAAGAATAGTCATGTACCTGTCCAAGAGCTTTTTCCCAAACTCAGTCTTGATTTGTTTCGCATGTGCTCCTTCTGCTTCATTGGAACCTCAAAATTAACACAATATGAAAAACACATTCTGTTTGACTTTTTGACTCACTGACAAAGCAAAGTACAAATACAAACATAAACAAACAACTCCCTTGATTTTTGGGTCCTGAGGATATGACTTAGCACAAAGTCCAGCTCACGTTGGGTGTTGTTCAGAGCATTGGTCAGCAGCTGTTGTGCTTCATGTGTCAGCTTGGTGTCCATGTTGCCACCAATGTGATTTGGCTTGTAGTCCTGATTGTACACAATATATATATATATATATCGCACATTCAAAACAAAACTAAAAAACACACAAATAGTCCCACAGTCCCACAGAGTAACACATAGTCACAATCACAATGCTTGTGCCTTGGGCTGGCTGTCCAGTACAGCCCGGCATGTTGCGTCCAAATCATACGCAGTAGCCACCCGAATCTGACATGATACCGAACCTAAGCAAACACTAGGGGTTGATGGCAAGTTGGTGGTGAGTAACAACTCACTGTGGACCGTGAGTTATGATTTGTTGTTTATCTAAATGGTAGCACATTGTAACACTACCGGTGGCAGTCAAG